CGCTGCCTGCCTGTTTCTGAGGGTCATACATTTCCCAGGGAGGCAGGGTCGGGAGACAAATTTAAATCGGGGCCACTGTGGACTTATTTGATATGTTTAAAATGATTTCTGACTTTTTTCACAGACCAGGCTATTGCATCTACAGGTAATCTTAGGGAGCTGAAATCGGGTAGATCAGAGTGGGGAATGAGGAGGGCCAAACCTGGGTCAGATCAAAATACCCGTTCATGTGAATGAAAGCAAATGATAAGGTGTGTCACAAACCATTTTGGTTTGAGTGAGAGTTGGAACTGAGGACAGGATTGGGTTGGTAGATGTACTTCTCATTACGTGCATAGGCTGTTACAGCAAGTGGGTTGCTGCTGACCGTTCACCAGCTGGGACACCTAAGAACGAGGACTGAGCACCACCTAACTGCAATTCGTAAGGGCCCCCCAGCTACACTGCTGGGCTTGATCTCTGACTTCAGGGAAAATCAATAGACATATGGTCTGATCCCTGATCCCTCTGAGTTGCTGATTCCCATGTAAGATGAGAGAGCATACCCAGGACAGCTGGCTCATCTAAGCCAACGAAAGCTTCCATGACCTCATTAAAGGATGGAAAGGAAGGGCATGCTTTACGGGGAGAACCTAGGTCTGTGGACACACTGAAGTTGATGTGGACAGACAAAAGCTGTGTAAAACTTCTCAACAATTAAGACCAATCATGTTACAGCCTCAGAAAATTCTTCTCCCTATCGGGATCTTCAGGGGAACGTCAACCAGTAGTCTCCATCCTTGAGTATTTATGTAGTCTGATAATAAGAAGTGGTAGACTACCTACCATCACCAACAAGAACAAAATAAGGATTCTTGGAACATGTGTTTTATTCACCTTTCCCCTACACTGACCCTCTGCATCCTAACTGGAGACTCATATAGACCTGTATCCACCTTATATATGTTCGAAAGATTAAAGTAAAAGAAAAAAAAAAAAGATAAAGTTTCAAGCAAAGGTTTAATCCTCTGCATAAAAATACCGACTTCTTATGTAATACTTTGCTCTGCAATCAGAAATACATTCCTAACCACTACAGTTTATTTAAATGAATTTGTGTATTTATATTACTCTTTATCTTCATCTTTCCTTTAACATACATTCCAGAAGATTTATTTATATTGTTCCTTGTAATTCTAATTTAATAATCTTATTTATGACTGTTATCATAGCACAATTTTTTAGTATGAGCATTCATGGGATATATATTGAAGTGTACACAATGTGCCGATATTTTCAAATGCTGGTACACAGGTGGCATTACCCACAATAGAGCTTTCTCAAGCACTTTGTTCAAGGACTGAGTGCAACTGTATAAGCAGTTTTATTCAGTTCTTTCAGTGTGAAAATAAACTTCACTGTAAGAAATGACTTTTCAATTACCATAAATCCTAACCAAAATTTGAACTTTCTTTTAATTATAATAGCTTTGGAAAAATGACACAGCATATGTATGACAGTATTAAATTGAATTTCTTTTTAAAATACTGTGATTAAATATTTTCCAGAATATCTTTTATGAGTCTTTCAGTATGCAGTACTTATTAATGGTCTTACCCACTTCATATACTTTTAAAAATTTTTTCTTAGTTCACTTTATTAGCTGTCTTATTTAAATAATATCAGTCTACTGTTTGGAGGATAATAAATAATATACATGTTGAAACATGATTTCATATCTAATAGCATCAATAATATTATAGTTTATTACAATTGCTGACAGACATTGTCTTACCGACACAAAAAAATGGCCTTCTTTCTCTTTTAAACCTAACACTTGGATTTTTTTTTTCTTTTCACACTGCATTGGGTAAAACCAGAATTTTTCTGTTGGTCATTGGTGATGGCGCTAGATATTCTTGCATTGCTATTGATCTGAAGAGAACAATTTCATACTTACAGAAAGAGGACACATGTCATGTGTTTCACTCATACTCAGTTTGAGATCAAATCCCAAACTGTCATCCACTCTTTCAAGGAGTGCTGCCTCCGAAATAAATGAATTGTACAAATCGATATCTACCCCGGCCATGTGTTGCCAGTGATTCTGAAGAGATTTTATCATGCTTGGAATGGCGAGATTGGAAGCAATTCAGAACTGTTGGACTATCAAAACCACTTGAGCAGGACCCTCAGAGCATGTCCCATGCTGGGGACCTGGGATGCGTAGGAGGCTGGGTGGTGTTTCTCCCTGATTCTCTCTCCTTATCCCAAGTCTAGAAAAAATAATAATAATAATGTGGAAACAATGGTCTTACCCAATATCCTCTAGCCTTTCACCCTTTGTGCCCTAATCAACTATGTAAAGATTATCAAAATAAAATAATAATGTTATAAAAGAAATGTATTATAGCTATCATTCAATGACAACTGGATCAAAAGTCCAACAGTCAGGATCAGAACCAAATTCTGATATGGGACATCTCAGCACAACATGACCTTCACATATGCTAAAAAGTGTGTTTTCTATTCCAACATTTTAAAGATTCTTTATTATGAATACATGTTGAACTTCACCAAATATTTTCTGTGCACTTTTATAAAATGTTGTTAATTTTGAATTTTATTGCAAATTGTATGTATATTTTTAAAAATTACTGCTGTGTGACTATATATAATACATTTTGTCTTGTTCTATTTAAAGCATGAATAAAATGAAAATTCCAGTTTTTGTAATGACCATTTTTGTTAGCTTGCTGTTAAAGTTATGTTGATCTGGCAAGTTGAATTGGGAACTGGTCATTATTCATTCCATGTTCTGGAAGGCTTTCCATGTATTTTGAACATTTTTGAAATAAGTAGTAGAAACAAAAGTGTATTCAACAAGCCCTCAAATTAATTTTTACATTTTAAATTATGGCTTAAATTGCTTTAATGATTAAAGGATAGTTCATTAAAAGAAAGTTCTAACTACATGTACCCCATTATTCTCCTAAGAATAAATCCATCTCATTTGCATTTCAAGTTAATCTAGACTGTTGTCAATAGATTCTGTATCATGGATAATAATAATTTATTCTTGCTTTACCATGAGAATCATAGTATTAGTTTCTATGAGAAATTATTTTTACTCTTGTGAGATATCTGTCACATATCCCTCATATGTTTTATTAATCACTGTAACTAGTATTACCTTTTGAAATTTTGCTTTTAGGTCCCTCTCAATCTATATTTCAAAACATTTGCATAAAAATGGAAATTTAAAAAATCATTGTGTGCAAATATTTTTAATATTTAGGTGGTATTTTTATAACAATTTTATGACTTTTTGGAAGATTCTTTATGTAACAGCATTTTTATTCACATACCTGTATTATCATTAGTACTTTAATTTGGTTGCATTCTAACGTCTTTCTATGCAATTCTCACTTTACTTTGGCTTCTCTTTCTTTTTATTTTCCTGTTTTTGAGGGATTCATTAGTGGTTTGTTTGGGGTCTCTAAGAGGTTCTCTGTAAACTTTAGGGGTTCAAATAAAAGCAAAATAGCAAATATTTTAGATATAATATATGTACACACAGTGTATGCAATACGTATGTATATACAGCATGTACAGCATATACACATGTGTATATATTTCATTTGCATACATATATTCATTTTGTATTTTGCATGAATATTGTCTTATGTCAGAGGGAGCATATTATATTTGTCCTTTGGGCATTGGCCTGTTTCACTGAGCATAATGATCTCTACTTGGAACTGTTTTGCTTCAAAAGGTAGAATTTTGGTTTTTTTTTTTATGGCTTTGTAGTATCCCGTGGAGTAGATCTACTACCATTTGTTTATCCATTGCTCTCCATATTAATGAGAACCTTTAAAATGTCATGGAACTAATGTGTCAGAGTTACTCTTTCAGATTATTTTGTTGTATGATTAAGCATTGTGGCCCTAGAATTTTAGAACAATTCCTTGCTATAGTTAGTTCTTACCTCATTACTGTGAAACAATAAAACCTCTATAAATATTCCCTTGGGCTATAATATGGTATCCTATAATGTGTAATAATAAATATCTCTTAGTTTATGTGAACTAGCTGTTTGGCTTTTGCCATGAGGCTGTGTGCTGTGCTTGGAGCCAGGCCATTGGTTGAGTTCTGGTTAATTCTACGTGTTTGTAGATGGGTAAACATTTCTAATGGTAATGGCAGAAGAACAAGATGCTATGCCCAACTCTACTTAGGTCATATATATTAATATGTTATAAGTCATACCAGCTTCATAGCAAAATTGAAAGTATAAGGAGAAAAGAAGTCTACTACAATACCAAATTATATTGTGATATGTAAGAAGTATGTGTACTACCTCAGTCTTCCAGTGACAGAAAAATAGAATCCTGTAAATAGATTATCATGAAGGTAATTTCCACATAACAAATGTTTATGCTTATGTTTTACATTTTTACTGATCAAAAATAGAAATGGAGCATAATCACTTTCTTTAAATTGTTAACTTATGTTTAAGAGGTAGAGACAACAAGTTTGCATCTGAGCAATTTGAATTGTAAATATTGCTAGCATATTTTGTATCCCCTCTCAGACTCACACGAGGTGTGGTGCACCACCAGATAATAGATATTTAGTGAAATAATTCTCTTTGACTTGTCTCCTTGACTTATTAAAATATTAAATATTTTGTGTTGTGAGTACTTTTCCATATAATAAAACAACACTCATTTGGAAACTAATGGAATAAGTCAATGAATTCTATTACAAACAAATATTTCTCATTGTTTTGCTTTTTAACAGTTGCAGAAATGTGATGAATGTAGGGGTTGGGATATGATCCACTCTATGTTGGATCAAATAGCAAACACTTTCACAAATGTTCAGGAAAATATTAGAAACTTAAGAGAAGCTGGCATTTACTTAACTTCACTAACTGAAGATGAATTTGGCTCAGTGTACATTTTTGGATCAATTAACTGAATAACTTGATAACTGATTACTTTGTTTGCTTGTAGACAGTCTACATGGGCTGGTGTGAACTAAGGGAACAAGACCCCCTTCAAGATCGACTGTATTCACCAACATTTCTGGCCCTGAGGGGCTCCTGTCTTTACAAGTTTCTGGCACCTCCGGTAAGTATTTTTAAGGTTTTCCTCATGTTGACAGTACATCACATGACATATTTATGTTTTGAAAATGAAACGGACAAAAAGCACAGGTGATTCTGTCAAAGGTAGATGCTCTGACATTCAACATTTGCTTCATAGCACTCAAATACCTAGGAGGCAAGGGCAAATCTTAGGTGCAACAGCTAAGCTATTGGCTGGGATGCCTGCATCTCATTTTGGAGTACCTGAGTTTGAGTCCTTGCTTTGCTACTACTAAGGAATATGCTTGTAGGCTTCAGAGGATGACTTATGTAGTTGGATCCCTTTTATACATATGAAATACCTTGAATGAGTTCTCACCTTCCTGCTTTGGCAGAACTAGCTCAGATCTTCATGAGCAATGAGAAGTGAATTAATGGATTAGAGTTCCTCTATGTCTGCCCACCCCTCTTCTTCTGTTGCAATAGATAACCATAATAAAACACCTAGAAGGCATTTCTAGTTAGAAGTGAATCTGAAAAAGAAAAGTCAAAATTGTATTGTTAAAAATACCTATGAAGAAATGGGAGAAGTATTTCAAGCATCAGTCAGTGTGATTTTGGTAACTGAATAAAATTATTGAAAATGTTAGAACTATAAAAATGAAGTTTTAATAACTCTTTATAATTATTTCATTTACATTTTTATTGTGCTAAAAATATAGAGTTTTTTATAGCTTTAACTTATTTAAGCATACAATTCCATGGCCTCGTACAGATTCCCATCGTCATGGTCAACAACACTGCCAATCTCCATAGTGTTTTATCCTTCCTAATTGAAACTGCCTGAATTGGAGTCAGTCTTTTTAAAGATTCATTACACATTATGAATTGCGTTTATTAATGTCTTGTTCTAAATGAGACTTTTGAGAGCTCTTTTAAATTTATTTGTCATTTTTAATTGCTGATAAGAAATTTTCAACTTATATTCAATTTATTATTAACTTGCAATAATTAGTAAACCTCAAAATGAAAACATTCCATCAAGTTAATGACCTTAGCCAAACTACAGTGATGTTAATAAGAAATACATTGTGTTGTGCAACTATGTATAACAGTATAAATATGTTTATCAGGCTTCGTATGTCTCCTTAAGTCAATTCAATGATATTTTTGATGGTTTATTAATATTCACATCCAGCTATGTTTTAAATATGGACACCTATTACACCTGAAGATTTTATTTTGAAAAAAATGTAACCTGATTTAACAGTACGTACTCAATAACTGTGTAATGAATGTAAATATTAAACAATATGACCAGTGTAGTATAATTCTGTAAATATCTGGAAATTGCCAAAGCTGATTTCCCATTTTTTTCAGAAGTCTGTGTCTGTAGAAAGCTCAAAGCACTAGAAAACAGAGAATAAGAAAACTGCAATATTTCCAAAATGTATTGTATTCCTCACATGAAAATTTTCTTACAATTGGGAAAATACATGTTTCAAACACAAATGCCTGAAACAACTTTGCTGTAGTGTTGATGTCTTCACAAATTCACCAAGCATCTTAGAGTGACTTCTTACTATAAAATTATGAGATTTTAGAAATTAAAGCCAATGATAATATGTAGTATTCATCTGTTTCATTGCTGATTAAGCATAAACACTTGGTAATGTATTTGCTATAAATAATTAACATTTATACATAGAAGTATGTGCATGATTAAACTATGTAGTTTTTGGATAACAGAGAAAATTACATGTAATACTTGCTGTACTTCAGAGGAAGAAAATGGTGATAAAACTAAAGTGTGCAGGAGTTTCCATGAACATAATGTCACTAATGAGATATGTACGTAAGACTTTCACTTATTAGGTACTGTGTTATATAAATAAAATACCGATGGAAAGAGGACTATCTCTGTAAAGCAAATAACATCATTTTGTCATCTTTTAAAGGTGACCACCTGGGACTGGACCCGGGCAGAGAAAACATTCTCAGTTTATGAGATTATGTGCAAGATTCTCAAGGTATGATCAATTATTAATGATTAGTTTAAGGATGCTTCCCCTAGGAAACGGTAGTTCTATTGTCATAATTACTTTATGAAAGTAAGTTACTTCTGGTGTAAAATAAAAGAGCGAGGAAAGGAAAGTAGGAAATGCGAAGTGGTGGTCAGGTCCTGGTGTGTCAATTTACATCACTCACAAGTAGATGCCTAGGTGCTTCATTGGGAGAAGGAGAGGCTGATGCTCGCAGGTGTCAAAGTACTGACACTGGAATGATGAAAACGTAGGCCGTTATCGCTTCGCTTTTGCTTGAATAAAATACAAAACAGCAATGTTTGTGTCAGACCTGGAATTGAAGAAAAGATAAAGGCAAATATGTGACATTTGTTTTGTCTTGGTTTTGTGTCTTGGGGTCTGATCTCGTTGTGAAAATGGAACAGAATGTACAGTTGTTATATATCAACTTAATTTCTGTCCTATACATTGAATGGTAGCAATATGGTAACAGTATGAATCATCAAGAATTACCTGTAGAGGCCCGGCAGCATGGCCTGGCGACTGAGGTCCTTGCCTTGAACGTGCCAGGATCCCATGCGGGTGCAGGTTCTAATCACGGCAGCTCCACTTCCCATCCAGCTCCCTGCTTGTGGCCTGGGAAAGCAATCAAGGACGGCCCAATGCTTTGGGATCCTGCACCTGTATGAGAGACCTGGGTGAAGTTCCTGGCTCCTGGCTTTGGATTGGCACAGCACCGGCTGTTGCAGTCACTTGGGGAGTGAATCATCGGACAGAAGATCTTCCTCTCTATCTTTCCTCCTCTCTGTATATCTGGGTTTGTAATAAAAAAAAAAAAGAGTTACTTGTAATCCTAGTATTTTAATCTTTTAAAATTAATTTAAGGTAAAATAATATGTAAATTCCACATTGATATCCCTGTAGATATATATTTTTAATTTATAATTTTTGTGTATATTTAGTGTGTATATACATAGGTTACAAGTACACATAGAAATAATAAAACTGTTTTTGCAGTTAATCAAATCAATAGGTTCATCATCTTACATACATGTACCCATCTATTTTTGTTCATTATGGCAGGAACAGTGGAAATCATTTCGTGTAGCATGAATTCAAATGTTATGCATCCTCGACTCGTTCATAGAATATTTCTGCCACTTGTGGTCTTTGATATTTAAGTTTCTTTCATCCCAAATATCTGAAACTACTGTTTTGTTCTCTGTCTCTATGAATGAGAGTATATCACAGTTTGTGGGCATTGTAATGAAAAAATGCGTTTATTTCACAGTAAAATAATTTTGTGATGCATAGTACACATTCTCTTTAAACACTTTAAAGCACATCTGTATGTTATAAAATGTTTTGTCTCATGATTAACTTTTAACGACATTTTCCTAGCTTCCTTTATGAAGTAGATTCATGTAGGTACCATTAGTTTCCTTATCTGTTTTTCTATTAATGCTTTTATTTTGCTTTCAATTATTATTGGGAGTAATGCACAGCAAACATGACAGAACACAAGCCTTTATCAGGCAGTTACTCCGTTTTACTTGGGTTCATGCCCATGAAAGATTTATGGGACATCTGATATGTTTACTTGCCGGAGTCCAGCTCCAGCTGAGTTCGGAGCTCGAGAAGGGTGCGTGAAGTAGGCGTAGAAAGAAGAGACGGACCACTACAATCCCAACATCATTGTGGACCACGCGAGAAAGCTGTCCGCTTTATTTATACAGAAGCAGTACACAGTCTTTTTTAGGGCATTTTGACATAGCTTCAAGGGGGGCACAATTTACAACCGCTTGAGAGGTGAGTGAGGGAGAACCCCACATTCTTTGCTTATCTCGGCTTGCCAGCCCCTACTTACTTCCCTCAAGTCTGGGTCCCATCCTTGGCGCTGCCTGTGACAACCAGACCCCTACCTTGAATTACGCATGGGAAAAGGGCTGAGACCTTGGTTTATGGGGATTAGGGTATTGGCACCAAAGGTCATTAGGTCTGCAGGCCCACACAGTTTGCTAACTAAGCAAGAGTTACAACGACGGAAGGAACTGCAATTAGCAATGAGCCATGTTTACTCCATTTAGGTTTCTGCTCTACAATGGGCAAGTAAATGTTTCCAAAGATAACTCTACAGATAGTTTCACCTTAAGACAGGACATTATCCATTCTGATGTTGCAGCCAACATTTTCTCAGTAGACAACACATCTTATTCAGTAATACATTCCTACTACAATTCTTATTCTATAACTATCCATCACTTAATGAGAGAAATACATCAAAAGAGAAAAAATATAAAAATCTAAGACAAAAGTTTCAAACATTAAATCCCTCTACAATTGTAGGCTCTACAACCTCATAAATGATCAAACAATAATCAAAAGTATACATGATGTTAGTAAAGTCACCCTATATTTCCTCTAGTTAAAAAATTATGAAGGCAGCCAAAGCAACTACATTTACTATGTTCTAAAGAGTTGAGAGTTGCAAGGACAGGCTAACCTTTAAGGTCACAGTAGCTATATTTTGCCATAGCAGGATAGCCTTTAGGGTCACAGTAACTATACTTTTACCATAGCAGGATGGCCTTTTGGGGTCACAGTAATTATAACAGGCTAACCTTTAGGGTCCCAGTAACAGGATAGCTATATTTTTTGTCATAGCAATTTCAACCCATACTTCCATCACTTCCATTAGTTTGTGAAACTCTTATCAGGCCATTTCCCAGAAAGCATGCTAAACATTTGGGCCAGATCTCAGAGCAATGGTTAGGCACACAATAAGGTGTCTGGAAACAGCATGGGCTTAATTGTACTCCTGTGCGCAGTTAAAGGCCCACTCACCAAGACATTATCAGTAACATTAACTTTTAAGCTCATGTTGGTTGTAAAAGCCATCTCACAGGGGCAAACTATGCCTAAAGATTGCAGAATTCTTAGTGGGGTGGTTGAGTGTCCATGCAAACAGGGGGTGAGACTGCATCAAGGTGGTCAGAGAGAAATCCGCCGGGCCCTGCCAAACAGCTGTAAGCTCCCCCAGGCCCTGCCAAGCAGGGGAGCTGTTCTCTTCACACCTTCGTGTCATCCATACCTACTGCACAGACCCCAGCATTTACTTCTCATTTTGTTAGATATATCCATCCTATCCCCATGATGTTTTATCCGTCTACATGGCCACCAACTCTACTAGGTTTTTTTTTTTTTTTGTAACACACTTTTTTACTAAACATTTTCTGTCTTGACTTTCCTAAGAGGAGTGAAGTGATAAGTGCATGGAAGTTTTATTTAGCATATTAATTATATTTAAATATGGTCAGCCTTGCTTTGTGTTGCTTTTGGACACTTTTTTTTTTTGTAGATAATTGCCTGTCTGGGAACTTTACTCATCACAGACAGCCAACTTTTTGTCACTATAATAAATGAAATAATTTAACTTGTAAAAATACTTATAGTTTTGTAGGTTTATGATCCAAGATCAAGTGCCTTCATTAGACTAGTGTCTGAAGAGGGCAGTGTGTGATGGATTCAAGTGAAGGGAGGATTCTAAAATGAGCCAGGAGACAGGAAGCACATTAGTCACTGCTCACTATTTACAGTGTAACTGTAATTCAGACATAGGGCTATGTCCTGTCAATCAAATACATTCCAGTTACTGCCCCATAAAAAGATTAAGTTCTATCCTTAATCCAATAATGTGGTTTTAGGGGATCAAGCCCTTATAATGGTAGCTTTTAAGAGCCACTCAAATGATTATTTCATTGCTGAATTGTGTGAGTCCTTTCCAGAACCAATTTTATTTCTTTCTGTTCAAATAGAATAACTTTGCTTTCATTTTCTTGCCTGTGTTTTACTACTAGTACCTCAACATTATATCAAACAAGTGGAGGATCTATTTTTAGTTTTTTCAGGGATCTCCACACTGTTTTCCACAAGTAATGCACTGGTTTGAATCCTCACCTATACTGCATTAGGGTTTCTTTTTTTTTCACATTCTTTCAACAATTTTTTTTGATTTTTTTCATAATCATTCTAATTGGTGTGAGTTGATGTTTGTTTGCTTTTCCAAAGGGGCTAATGATATTGAGCATTTTTTTCTTCATGTGTTTGTTGAAAATTTATATTTTTTTGAAAAAAAAAGCCTATTCAGGTCCTTTTTCTGTTACTTAACAAGAAAGCTTATTTGTTGATTTTGAATTTTTCTTAACTCTACGTACTCTGGTCAATTCTTTGTCAGACACATAGCTTGTAATAATTTCCTGATTCTTTTTATACTGAATATCTGTGTTTTGGGGGGGGGGGTCTTATCTTCACAAGTGTTGACTTTGTTACTGTTGAGGACTTCCCCTGTGTTTTGATCTAATATTTTGATAGCATCAGATCTTACATTTAGATATTTTCTGTGATTTGAGTTGATATTTTACATTATACAAGGTAGTGGTCTGGTTTCAAGCCCATGAACAGATAGTACTGATGAGAGGGGCATTGTGTAGAGAGAGAGAGACATGATCATAAATACCAATTCTGTTACTAAATATGTCACCTTTTGCACGGATATGGGGACTATTAACTTCCATTTCCTGCATCTACTAAATGACACATGTTGTGAAACTATCAATTCATTAATCAGTGTGTGAGTGTGTTTCCTTTTCTAATTCATGTTAGAAATATTCATGGAATGTGTCCCATGTAGCAAGTGTCCAGCAATTAGGGATCCTTACAATTGCATAAGAGTATCGATGGCAGTAAAATTGCGGCTGATGAAGTTAGAGTGGGTGTTTTGGAGGAGGCCACACATAAACTGAAATCTAAATGTCAGAGGATACAGGAGACATGGGCATGCCATCTGACTGACGGTGGGTTGGCTCTGCTCTGGGGGAGAACTGGGGATTACCTTCCAGGGCTGTGTGTGTGGACATGCCACAAAGAGGGAAGTGGCTACACTCCCTGAGGCTCATCCGAGCAGCTTCCGATCCAGCTTCTTGTGTTAACCATCATTGATTAAAATA